TGCACCTCTTTTCTTTTCAGTGGAGACCAATTATCTAAGCAAGACACAGTAACAGTCATGGTACAAAAGCTAAATACCTTCTCTGACTACTGGATTATTTCATACAAAAGATGGTGGATAGCTGTCCTTCATTTTTCCTCAGAGGAAAGTGTGTTTCCAATGCTCCCAGCTGTGTACTGCAAGCACTGGCTGCACCTCCTCTGCAGCCTGAGCAGCCACCAAGGCTCATTTCAGGCAGCTGCTCTGTGCTGACTGGAGGCAGGTCCCTGTTCAGCAAGCTTGAGATTTCAGACCCTGCTTTGAGGTGTCCAAATTGACAGGCACCAGCCAAAGAAGTTCAATCCAAGATCTGGAAAAGTCCTACAGCCCTCTTGAGCAGCATCTCAGGCCAGGCAGGATACACCAAAACAGAAAGGCACACCTGTGTTCAGCCAACTTTGAAATCCAAGCTCATCAAGAGTGACCTAGCCCAGTCAAGCCAGGTTCCTAATCTCTCTTACTTGCAGGTATCATTTTCAAAAATGAGCTCTCTTCTATGCACTTCCTTAGAAGTTCTTGACTATGTTAACTGTTGTTAGATTTAAACAATGTCAAAGTTAATTCTTCCCTCCTGATTGCAGTTTTGCTTAACCTGGTCCACAGCAGAGGTGGCTAAACCTCCTCCCAACCCAAACCCTGATGTGAAGTAAAAGCATCTACAGACATAGATGTGACCAGAAGACAAAATGAACAGTACAATGCACTTTCTAACCAACTGAAGGACCTTGTGATTGCCAAGTGGCCCACAGTCAAATCACACTGACATGTGTGGTGCACATACCAGCTTCAGTAGCTGTTTCAGGAAACAGGATGGTTTCTGAATGAGAGCATCCCTTAATAGTCACCCTGGTAACAATTTATTTAGAAAATAGCTATAAGCCATGGATTGATATAATCAGAGCGCTAAATAGTATGATCTTTTTGTTGTTTTCAGTAGCCCATAAAATATAATATTGATCTCTTTCAATAGTAGTAATGGAAATGCAAATATAAAATACAAATGTGGTTTTCTCTCCACAGACCTGAGAGGCGCCTGTTTTTCAAACTGGGGACTGACCCCCTCTAGATGTCTACAGTCAGCACAGAGATGCATACTCCTTGTTTTATTCCTTTCCTTCTAGAAAAACTAATTTACCTTCAGCTTGTTGTTTTATCTCCATTGTTCAGTTGCGTCCACCTATTTTCCCTTGGTTTCTGCATCCTTTGGACAGGGACTAATTTTACAATTGTGCCTCATCTGTCACAGTAGGACTGTTCTATGATAGGAGCACTCAAATATATCTGCAAAACCAAATAAATATGCAAATAACTGTAAAAATAAGTAACAATAAAACCTAATAACCAAAATGATGTTTAAGCAATTCTGGCTATTTTGGGCCAGATTAGGCAATTTAAAGTCTGTCATGAAGAAGGATTTGACATGAATACAGCAGAGCCTTTGCAATGTAGCAACTGATTGAACAAAACATCAGGCAATATTTCAGTGTTTCATGCAAAGTATTGCAGTCAGAGGAGAGCTAGTAAATATGATCACTACTTTCCTTCTTGTTGTTTCACTGTTGAAACAGAAGAGAGACAATCAAAATAAGAGGAAGTGGACTTTTGTGTCTTTTTATCATCTGTACTTAGCCAACTTTTATTCCTAACAAGTAAAATTTACTCTGGTAACAATCCCCTTAAATGCTGTGAAATAAATAAACTTTCAAATTGAGTATCTTAAAATTTACCTAATAACTTCATGGTTCTTGGAAATTATAAGATCTTTGAAACAGACACTTTTATGCAATCAATTCATCATAAATTAAGCATAACATTGCAACAGAACAATAAAGATTAATTCAGTTGACTTTAATGTAAATGTAATTTCTGTTTCTCTAGGCGCTTCATAACAATTGGTCAGCATTTAAATATGAGTCAATCTTGGCCTAAAATGAAGTCTGTCCTCACTTTTTTGCTCCAATATTTCTTCTGGCCATACATAATGTAATTGAATCTTGAGAGGAATGGGTATTGTTGCTCTGTCTATGCCTCTACTGCGCACTATCACAAACACACAACTTAGAATTTTGTATCTGGTTGGTCTGGTATGAGTATCATAAATGGAAAAACTTATAGAACATACCCAGCTAAATGAAATTCTACATTTTAAGTAGAAAGAGAGGAAAGTGTTCTAAATTGCATTAAAGAAAATCCCACATTTTTGAAGGAGGAAACAATGTTGCTGTGGTGTTGACCAGAGAATGAAGAAAATTCCATGAAGGAAAGATGCTTTGACCCTATAATTAGACATGGGGATTTAAAAAATGGCATACCAATATTCCAAATAAAAATGGTGAAAAATACTTCTTTTAAAGCAAGGTCAGGATTTTATTAACATAGAACATGCAGAAGGTCCTAAATGTCCTCATGGCCTTAGCCATGAGAAGTTTTTGATAAATCCTGAGCCATTTATGTTACTGGTCACCAGTAACGTGTATGTTTCTCTGATAGACTCACAGAGATATCAGTAAAACCTCGGTGCTGCATCTCACACAAAGACAAAAACTACCAAACAGACCAAAGGAGCTCCCTGCTGCAGGCAAAGGAGAACCTGCAGAAGGTCACTCTGCAGGTGCATGTTGGGAAATTTGCCATAGGAAGGGGCAGGGAGGAATTAAGTCAATTCAAACACGCAAAAATTATGTTCACTGTATGTATAATACTCATGCAACGGCCTTTTGCAATTGTAATACAGACTGCCTTGGGGGAGCTGCAGGAAGAGTTTTGCAAGGAATGAAACTGTTCTTTTAAAAGACAAAAAATTATACATGAATGATAAAGAACACTGAGATGACAGAAATCAGTTACCTGTTCATATTCGACATGCTCCAGAGGCATATCACTGCAGTACAGATTTAACCACTTATCCAAAATTCTCTATAGCTATAGCAACTGCTCAGGCACACCTCTCCTGCTAAATCCACAGCTGAAAATAAACATATCTTGTTTTTCTTCTAAAATTTGCATCTTTGCATTTAAGCCCTTTAGTATTTCCATAACAAACTGTTTAACATGACAGTTAAAAAATTCATTAGCAATGTGTGCATTTAAATATTGATTAAATTTTTAAATTTGTGTGTGTGTGTGGGTGGTTTTTGTTTGGTTATTTGTTTCAAATAGGTTTTGGAGCATGTTTGTAACGAAAAACTGAAATCTGACTTGACAGCATTGATTATGGGATCTATGAATTTAAATGAGCTTGGGTAGGTCCAAAAGGACATGACCACCTTTTCATTTGTAGGAATAATTTGCTGGATAATCCTAACTCTTTTTGCTGAAAAGACTGAAATGTCCAGTAGTCAAAAGGCAAAAGTAAAAATCATCTCAGTTTTTGTTTCAAGGATTTATAAATCAGTATTATTTCACCTGAGTAACGTAAGGAGTTCTGTTTCTAAGAGAGGCTCAAGGGCAATCAGAAGTAGAGAGGCCAAGAGAACTGAGCTCTGTTGTTTTGGTATCTACACCGCTGGTGTTTAGCAACTATTTTACCAGCAATAGAGATCTTGGATAGGTGCCCCTGGGTTTTAATTCCTATTCAGTTGAATTCAATAAGTACCCTATTCTAATGTAACCAAAACAGTGGACGCAGGAATTCAGCTTCCAGCTTTTCATTCCCTCGGCAGGAAATCGTTGCTCTTTTTTCCAAATCACTGAAAAGAAAAAAAAAATCAGGAAAATATTCAGAGAATGAAAATGTTTGAGATAGAAAAGAAGGTAATAATTTACATATGTGCATTGAAAAGTTTTGAAAATTAGTTTTGGACCTCTGCTTGCAGTTGCATTTCTTTCCCACTTACTGTTGCTCTCTAACAGCAAACTTTGTTCAATTCTGTCAGAGCCAACAGGAAAACAGTAGAATATCACCCAGCAGATTCAAACAGCAGGAAAACAGCTTTGCCAAAAAATAAGTAAGTAAATAAATTATTTTTTAAATCACTGATAAGTAATATAAATAAAAGTTTTATTATTGATGCGTCCATGCTATTATCACACACTCTAGAACACTCTTGTGTGGTTTACAGCTTGTTCACTGAGCAGGAAACCATTCAGCTTCACTCTGAGCTCAAAAGCTGCTGCTAATCTAAGTTATTTTGTAATTGTAAGAGTGGGCTAGTTGAAACTCTGAGATTTGTGGTGGTATTTCCCAAACTTTATGCAATTCCAAGGGTGGATGCTTAGCTATAGCTAAAATGAGTGTGCATTAATGCAGTCTTAATGCGATCCCTGGCCAAATCTTCATTGCAAAATAGCTTTTGATGTTGCTTCTGAATACTAAGTACTGCTACTGCAATGATCCACAAATGTTTCTGGGCAGGCTGATACAGAGCTACACTCTGGGTAAATTCTAGGGACAGTCTAGCTCCAGTCCAGTGGGTAAAGAGGGTCATGGTGAGAGAACCAACACCAGAGTAGGGCTTATGTGGTTCTTCCACACCCAGTATATCTCATATATTCTCCATGGCAGAGGAATAGCAGGATGCAAGAATACCACATCAGGTCTAGGGAAAGTGTTATACTTATTTGGCAGAATGGGAAGGGAACCATGTGGAGTGGCACAGCTGCACATGGAAAGAGAGTTTTAGCTCCTGTCTCCCTAAGGAAATTCATCCCTCCAATAATACACTGAATATGTAAAGCATCAATAAGGCTGTTACAATATTTATGTCTACAATGAATGTTTGCAAAATGAGTAGAGCTCTCTGCAACAAACTTGGAGCTGTAAGTGAACATAAAATGTGAGGTTTGACCCAAGATTGTTGAATTTCCAAATCTGCAAAGTCATTTCTCAAATGCACTCTTTATCCTTGCAACTTTCGCTCATTAATTTAAACTGGATTCTTTAGAAGTTTCATAGAACAATGGAAATTTCTAGTATTTAAGGGGATTTTTTTTTCTGTTTTTCTGTATTTAGATCTTGCCCAAACATACATGAAGTAATGAATCCAAATAGACATCGGAAAGGTAAAATTCCTTCACTGCTGAAAAAGGAAGTACTGTATCCTGTTTCTTACTCAGAGTCAATAAAAGTCTGTGATAGATCTGAACATTTTAATATCATAAAAATTAAAATTAATTGGTAGAAAAAATGAAAATCTACTACTAAGGGGATACCCACTAATGCAGACAACTAAAACATGTTTATTTCCACTGTGCACCAAAAAATGTTTGGCTTCATGATGGTATACACTGCAAAAAACTAGGAATAAGTTATTCTCTTGATGCAGACTGAAAACATTAGCTTGGCTGATGGCTTCTAGAAAGCAACTGAGGGAACTTTCTCTTTTCCCTCTGCTGCTACCTTTGAAGGTCTCTCCTCATTTTGCTGTTTGCTGTTCCAAAACAAGACAATGACATAGGATCTCTAAACCTGTTTCCATGACAGATTGTCAGTAGCAAGCATGTGTTTAAACTACATTAATTTCAAAAGCAAATCACTTCATTAACTTAAATTCTTTGTAAATGACACTGCAGTTCACAACTGTAGCTGAGCTGAAACATTTAATGCAAAGCATATAACATTATCTAACTAAAAAGTTAGATAGCACAGCTAGCCAGATAAATTTATTTGATGTACCATATGTTTATAGTGCTAGTTTGCTTAAATGCATTCAATATCCATACAATATAGAAGATTTAGGTTTAGGGCTGGAAAAAGGAGTTCTGGGAAAAATAAAACCCAGCAATCAATCATCTAACTGCAAATCTTTTATTGTTGTGGATAGCTGGCCTTAGCCCAAATGCCCACCATAACTGGTATTTATTCACACGCCTTTTTCATGTCTCTGAAGTGAAACCTGCCTAATCTTTTACTTGGTACTCCAATTAAACCTGTATTATGAAGGAGGCTTGTTTGTCTAGCCCCTCTATATGCTTTAGGAAGATGCCTACATACCTGAGCAGGACAAGGCTTTGCATCATAATTTTGAGCAAGACAGTAAAAAAAGTCGCTCTGAAAACATCTACACAGCTCTTCCTTGCAGCATTTCCAGCTTCAGGGTTTTTTCTACTGAAGTGGTTAGGATACACCCTTGAAGGATCACAGGTTGTGATTTTATTAAATCACAGCCCACAATTCTTTATCACTTTCTGCCACTGGCTGAAACAACACAGTGACTAAAAAACCACTGTGCATTCATAGATTCAGAGAAGCCAATGGGAACAGATTTACCTTCTGCTTTCCCACTTAAAGGGTCATATTTTTGATGTTGGATTTTTGTGTAGGAATTCCTAACCTGCCACCCTTTTAAACAAAACTTTTTTAGGTTACCATGAAACATTAAGGTTGCCACAAAATGCACACACTGTTTTATTCCATTGCAAATTAAAGAGAAGATATTTTTTTCCGTTTTGTCCTTTGACATCAGGCATTCTTTGTCAACTGGCAGAAACACACCCACATGTATGCCTCAGAAATATAACATCTTACTATTATTATAAGTGATAGTCTCTATTTATCAATTTCCCAGGCAAAACACTGAAAAAACTTCCAGAATGAATAAAACATGATGAGTCCCCTATAACTTGAAGAGACTCTAGCCTGTGCCAGCTTTAAATCTTTATCTTGCAGTGAAAAAAATTATACCAGAAGGTCCAGCTGATTGCAGCTACTATCTTCATTATGAAAATTATATTCTTAAATAACAGGAAGAGTGGTTTCTCACTGGTTTGCACTCCTCAGCTAGCACACAGCAAATATTTGGGCAGTTACCTTATGTAGAGGGCAGACCCATGGAAAAGCAGCACCAGGGCTGCTCCCTTGACTGGCCCAGTGCAAAGCAGGCTTAAGAAGAAAGAAGGCAGATGGAGTTCATCCCATCTCCAGTGATTCATGCAGAACAGAAGAGATGATAAACTGACCTGGATATCAAATTGTAAACTGATACTGGATAGCAATACATCACCCCACAGGCTTGTGTTGAACAGGCCCTTTTTAGCATTAAGCCATGAAATGCATGGGCAATAGCATTGATGTTTACCACTGCAACTCACTTTTTTATTGTTGAGGATAAATCATCCACACTGTTTTTATGAACAGAAGTACAAAGGCTAAAAATTAAGACACTGCCTTTTTATTATTATACTGGTATCACCTTTAACTGGGTTTACTTCTGATTAGCACCAGTATAACTGAACAGAAAATCAGACAAGTAGCTTGCATGAATAAGTCTCCTTCCCTGTCACCCAGGAATGATCCTGCAAGCAGAGATTAAAGTACTGCCTATACTGAATAAATGAGCATTCAATGCCATCTGCTGGGGTATACAAAAATATGCAATACCAGGCTCACAGGACCAGAGTGACAAATGCAAAAAGGGTGTTTAGGCAGAAACTTGCTTCTTCCAAAATACAGCTGTAAGGGAGGGTTGTGGGATGCTGGCTGTCCTTAATACCCTTCAGCTATGGGGTACAACCCCTGGACAAGAAGTAATTCTGATTTTAACTCTCTCCTTAGCATAAAAGTGTTTCAGTGCACAACTATCCCTTTTTTCCTAAGCATTACAACATGCGGTAATTATTTGTTATTGGTTGATCGTGATAGAAAGACTTTCATGCTCTGCTTTTGAAATCGGGTCATTATGTAGCCAGAGATTCAAGATTTGTGAGATTGCAGGCAGGCTAAGGATTGAAACAGTCTAGAAGGAGAGCACATACTGGGCAAGGTCATACCCATGGCTGTTTTGCATTAAAGAGTCACTGGGTTAAATGTGTAAATCAGGTGAAGTGCAGAAGCTGGGAGTCTCTGTTGAGCAGCTCTTTGGCCCTGTAGCTCATGCTCTCCTGGCTGTACCTTGGGACAGCTTCATGGGCAGACAAACACCACTGAGAACAGTTTATAGCCTGAGAGCTGGAGCGTTCCCAGATTTGGGATTTTCTTCTGCTACGAAGAGAACAAAACACATTTCTATCCACAGAGGGATTTCCAGACCAGGAGTCCCAGAGATCTCAAAGTTCTGCACCAAGAAGCAAAACTCAGGAGAGAGACAGGAGTTCAAGCACATCCTTTTTTGGGTGTTTTGGGGGGGGCGGGCTTAGATGTGCTCATGATTGTGAAGCCCATTTCCACACAGCTACTTCCTCATGCACTGAACAGGTCCACAAGGCCCTGGGTGGACCTGCTTCATGTCCTTTTTTCCATATCTCTAAAATACTGTAAATAAATACACTAAAAGCTGCAGTTGGCAGACTTTATTCCTTTATATAAGTTACTAGCTACTGTTATAATTTACAACAGAATGGGACCTTCTGACAGCTTTTCTCCATTTTATACAGAAAAGAGAACTATTCCTGCTAACACCTATAATTCTGTAAGTACCACATGTTTTTCCTAAAATTTTACTTTTTTTTTTCACTTGCTGATGTATGTTAATATCATCTTGGCTATAATACTAACAAAAAATGCAATCATCACTGGTTTTTAATGCAAAATAAGGCATAAGAATTGTGAATTATAGATGAGAACTTTTACCTTTTTTTAGCGGAATCTAGACTGGTGAAGTGACTCACCAATTCTCCATTTATGGGCTGAATCTAAAATACACCTTTATCATAAGATCAGGTAAAATTAACAGGAGTCAGGCTGAACAAGGATGTAAGTCATAAATCTCAAGATTAAATATGTAAGCAATACAAATGAAAGCTGAAAAGCAAACAGAGGACATTTCAATATCTTTCCATTTGTATTTGAAATCTGGGTTTGAGTTTCAGTTCAGGCGTATAAGAAAAGACTGAAAATACCTTTTAAATCACAGAAATATGAAAATAAAGCACTGTAATTTCTGTGTTTTAATAAGCAAGTTGGACAAACAAAGGATGACTAAAGAAGTTTGATGCAATCAATACTTATCTTCATATTTCACAGAATGATTAATAACAATCAGATGCTTTATGGCATTAATTCCGAATAGAAGGCAAAAACAGCACAGAGCAGAATTAGGAAAGAATGGTCAGGAAATTATTTACTTATGCTAAGACACTTAAAGAATTATTTAAGAAATTTCTGAGATATTAATTTATTCTCTTTGGGAATTCTCCAGAGTCCCGAGTTTCTAAAATTATGGAAAAGAACAGTGGTAACCACAATTTCTTCCAAGAAAGACAGCAAATCCTGAGGATTTATTTGGACCTGGAAAGATTATTAAACAAAGTCAATCTGAAAGCATATTTTGGAAATAATAGGTCTGATTATGTAAAGAATTGTTAATGTGACATGAAGAACATCTCATCAATTCCTCAAACTAAAAGTAATTTCCTTTCCAGCAGAAATACGACTACAATAATGAGAAAGAAAACAGTAAATATGATATATATTGCTTTTTATTAGGCCTCTGATATTTCCCAGAAGACATTCTCACAAGTACATGCCTGGTCTAGATGAAAATGATTTCATCTAGATGAAAGTGCTTGCACAACTGATTGAAAAAATAGCCACTTTCAGCCTAGCTGACAGTATTGAACTGGATAGATATTGACAGATATTGAACTGGAAAGAGTGGTGCAGAGAAGAACCTGAAAACCCAGGTACCTGCAGGGTCTGTCCAGGGTGTGGTGACATTTTTGTGTACTGTCATAAATACAAACCTCACCCTGCAATGTACTGTAAAGAACACTTCTGGAAGGTCTGCCTCATGTTGTAACAAAGATGTTTACAACATAGAGTGTGCTCACAGGAAAGTAACGCTGGGGATATGAGATTCAAAGTCTTTTAAGTTGGTTGACAGTCCAGGAAAGATTTAAAGTATATTTGCTTAGTGAGGAGAATAAAAAAGTATATAATTATAGGCATTAGTAGAATAAAATTTGAAATAAAGGTGAATAGTAATCAATGTATTTCGTGTCCTTGGAGAGTAAAACAAATTGGCTTCAATTCTAGCACTCAAGAGAAAAAGCATGAGCTGAAAGGGCAGTTAACTGAAGGGTAGAAGGTACATCAGGAAGATATTGATTCCCCATTAGTAATTAGAATAAAACAAACATCAGGGAATAAATTTGAGAATCAAATAAATTTGAGAATAGAAGAAACATCAAAGAAGACCCAAGTGCATGGATGCACCTACGCTGTTGGTAACAAAATGTGACTTGTAGAGGCAGGGGGTACCCTCAGTTGAGATTCCTCAGCAGCAACATTGGCTCTGTGCTGAAGGAAGGCAGCAGTTGTGTTTCAGTGAGTGAACAGTGAAGATGAAGAATGCAGCAGCACTCCATAACACAACCTTGAACAAACCTACACAAGTGTAAAGACACATCCAGAGACATCCTGAGTCACTCTCAGCACCATATTTCCATGGACTCCACTCTTCAATACATAACTCACTATCACTATCACTTGGACTGCACATTTGTTAGCACAAATTCCCCAAAACACTGAATGTTTTTATTTTGAAGTGTGACATTTTTGATGAGCTAGTTAAGATATTCTTGCAAGTAACATATGTAAACAGTCAGTATAATACAAATACCACATGGATAATATTATAATAAAAGATATAGTTTCAAATGTCTGCAATGATCATAAATTAAACACTTTCATTATATTTTCAAGAGCAGAGAGGCAAAATTCAGAGAAACATTTAAGCTGTCTCCCAAATGGCTACTTCATGAATCTAAATTAAAAATTGAGGCACTCAAACCACTTCCTCAACCACTTTCCAACCTTTCAGTTTCTGTCAGAAAATTTCCCATGCACCAAAATGTCTGGTTATGGCAATCATGTATTTCCACACTGAAATCAATCTTGAACTTAGATTTATTTGTATTATCTGTATTTCTCCTCTTCTCTCCAGAGTGAATACTTGACAATGAAGGGCAAGAGTGACTTCCAGCTTTCCTCTGAGCTATCTGAGGAGGAAGACAATATGTATGAGACTGTAAATTCTTCAGTGCTGGAGGCTGTTCACTCTTTGAGAATCCTTCCTGCCAAACCTCTACAAGAATCTGAATATGCAGGTAACATTTTCTGTCTGGGGAAACTGAGCAAAACCTAGAGTTGAAGAGGAGCAGTACAGACCTGGAGTTTTCTGTCCAGATTTTTTTTAAAATTAAATGGTTCAACTGGAAAAAAACACTGGTAGGTGGAAACATGGGAAGAGCTTTGTCTGCTTCTTCATATTCGAGTTACCCTGATCTTCATTAGATTATGCTAAATTAATAATTAAACATTGCTCTTTCATTTTAATATTACCTTCACAAGATAAATTCTATTGTCCCATTCCACATAGAATGTGCAAAAAACTGGCTGATCAGACCCACAGCCATTTCACAAAATCTCACTGCTATTTAAGCCTGGAAACCTTTAAGATTGAAGGCATATTAAAGAACACACTAAACTTTCCTCCAGATGATAATGTAGTATCCTTTCTAAAGGAGTTCTCTGATGCTTTAAATAGCAGTAATAAGCAATTACTGTGAGTGTATTTCTCAAGCATTCTTAACTTTGTAAGGTAGCTGCTTTAATCACCTTCTGGTTTACTGAAGATTTTCTAAGTCACATTTAATGCCTAAACATACAGAGGCAATTAATATCCCATTTATGGAAGTGAAATGTCATCCTAGCTGTGCATTGCTCCAATCCAATATAAACACTCTAAAGGTTTTAAACAGTTTTAGAAAATGGGGGGGAGTCCTAGATGAGAAAGACTGGAAACCATAAACCAGACAGCTTGCTCCAGTTCACATCAAACTCAGCAAACACATTTTCTACTCATTTTTGTGGGAGTTTGTTTGATGTCTAAACAAATAGATGTCTTTTAAAGTGAGTAAATTCATCAGTGTGTGAAAGGACCACAATCAGTCTGAACAACAGATATTCTACATTATGTTCCAAGACTAATTTGTCCATTTTATTTGGAAACTTGAAGTAAATTCCAAATACAGTTTTTATCTTGGTTAGTAGTAAAAACCTTCATTTAGCAGTCAGCATCTTATGTTGTTTATGTAAGATTGCCCTGAACTGGCCAAAAGACATACTTTTTGTTTTGTGATTTAAAGTAAAACACATTAAACAAAAAGCTACTTTTTGCCTATGTATTATGCCCAGTAACTATAATGTGGCAAGATACAGGAGCGAAGAAAGGACTGAAAATATTTTTCAAAAGGGTAAAATTCAATGCTAAAATTTTTGCCATCTTTAGATAAATACAAGTGCCCTTGAGATATAAAATTATTGACTGAAAAATACATGTTAACATACAACCTGAGCATTTCTTTTTGATGGCCAGGGATGCAGGTTTTTATTAAAAGCTAAAGTAAAACTTGAAATACTACCTAGAGAATAAAACCCCTACAACCCTCACAAAACCAGAACATCATGACAGCATTGCCAAGAGCAAAGGTTCAAATGAAAAACAAATTCAGTAATCTAACCACAGTTAAGGTCAAATGTCTGCCTTAACTGTTTACCAGCTTATGAAGGCTTTTATTTATAACCACAGTGGGGACATTAACCATAAAGCTATTACCAGGATCACGCTCATGTTCTCAATATAGCTGCTATAATGGTTGTTAAGTTCTGGAAAAAAAAAAAAAAAGCTATATAAATGATGAGACCTGACCTGAAAAACACATTTTGAACATTGAAACCTCTCCTTCTTCAAACATTATATTACTGAATTACTCAGGCTTGATTTTTCTTCCTCTTTTGCAGATACACGGTGCTTAAGGCCTTCAGGTACCACTTCCCCAACAAGTGAGAACCCATCTCAGCCCCCTCGACACTCAGCTGTAAGCAAAGATACTAAAATTTTTCCGCAAACAGGTTTCCCCTTTTCTGTAATATCCCCCAAAGTGCAGTCTATTTAAAGTCTTGGCCACATCACGTTCATGTGCAGCAGGCAGCCCAAGTTCCTGTGAGCTGTTCCTGTTTCACTTTGCACAGATGCCTCTCCCTGTCTCTTCCTTTCACTCCTTGGCTGCTGGGCTAAGACTCAGAGGCATCCCAGCCAGGAGCAGCACCCTTTCCACTGGCCATACCTTCTGGAATGATGGCTAACATCACACCTTTCTTTTGGTTTATTAACAGATTCACACATTTGATCCGGAGAGGAGAGCAGTGCCAAATGTAAGAGGTATAATTTAAAAAAACCCCACCCATTTCTGCAAACAGAAATAGTAATTTCTACTTCTATAATTAACTTTTGTACATAGGCAGAGATTACAGGTGACAGAATGGACACAGTTTTCAGAACAGCAGCTGCTTTCCAAAATAATCATCCTGCAAATTTTGCAGTACTCTTTCAACTATCTAACACTGAAGTAATTATTTACAGAAGGAGATCTGTTTTATCTCAGGAGTTGTCTGCTCCGACAAGGGGAGAAAAAAGGCCCTTCAGTTTAAAAATCAGATTTTCCTTTTTGCTATGTTGTAAGGACATAAGGGGCAGGGAGAAGCCAATGTCTCCTGAACTCTTTCACCAAAAGCCTGCAAGATCCCCGCTGGGCTTTACTTCTAATAACATAATTATTTTTCACTCCCCATCCTTCTCAGGGGTTTTCCATTAATATATTGTAAAACATAATCTAATAACCATTTTTAACCAGTAATACCAAGTTTACCAATTCCCACTAGGGATTTACATCCTAGGGTGACTATTTACAAAGGCTTTTGGACAATGTTCTGACCTACTCAGAATATGCCAATGGCGGGGTACATCACCTAGCTTTTTTTTTTTTCTCTGCTGCTTTACCTTAAACCCTAAATTTGCTTCAAAATCCTTTAATTTACAGTCAAAAATGTACCTTTAATTTTTGTTCTGTTTCTTGAGGTGAAATCAGAGAAAGGCAATCTTATTCTTCAAGAACTTCATGAAGTCTCCAAATATAAAATCCTCTGATTGACAATTTCACTCAATTGTAGGATTGTTTTGAAAGTAGGTTTCCATACACTTTTTTGCATTTCATTTACTTTGGCTATAGCAGTACCTCATGAAGTCAGCTACTGAAGGATTAAATATATTATTATCTTTGAAAAGGAATTGTATTTTTTATCGTACCATTTTCAAATCTTTGAACACAAGGTAATATGGTTCATAAATTGCAATTGCCAAGCCAAGAAAATGTGACCATTTTGTGTTTGCTGTAACAGCTGATTTTTATAAAGTATTATAATTTGACCAGGCAGAAAAATAACTCAAAGAATTCCATGTAAAACAGCATTTCCTCCCCCCCCCCCCCCATTATTTCACACTGTAATGCAAAATGTAGAGAGAAGTAATTCCTACAGATGATGAGAAAGCACTATATAGGTTGAAAATGGGAGGTTAGATTGATTCTTGTGAGCAAATCCCCATGTAGCCTGGAAAAAAGCTGAATTGCGATAAATTCGAGTAAGCAAGCTTCAAAATCTGCAGAAATCAGTAGGCAAGGACAGTTTGCCAGTTTATCTAAAGCTCTGAATTCCACCAGGATTTAGTAGGTTGGATTTACATGTCTCCATGTGATGTGTGCTGGTGTTAAGATGAGCCAAAGCCAGTACAGGAAGGTAAATTAAACTCTGGTGTTTGAGAATGCAACTGATTCATATTTTTAGTACTTCTTGAGTGAACAGTGCTTATAGAGATCACTGTTATTTTTACATAATAGTTACACTGTTTTTAAATATATCCTAACATTTTTTCATATGCCCAGTGCTATGAAGTGGCCTTGCCACAAGATGGCATAAATAGCACAGAAGACATTTTTTCAGCAGTATTTTCTAGAAATGTTAAACATTTATCATTATTTTATTCAGAGAAATTTCTTTTGGTTTATTTGAAGGAGAGCTTGAGATCTGTTGTATGTCCTTTGCATTAGTTAGGATTTCAGCATGTAGAACTTAGAAAAATGATTTCAATATAGCAAAAATAAAGATTTTTTTTTAGTAGTAAGATGTTAATTAAATAATAAGTCATATTTTGATACATTTGAAAAAATAGAACTGATTTCATTGGTTTTCAGTATTTTTATAAATTTCTATACAAAAATAAAAACAGACAAAAAATGCATCCCCAACTCAATAAGCATATATATATATGCATATAAAGTCTCTGGAAAATATTTAAATTTACAATAACTGAATGAATATCACCCTCAAATGTTTCATTCTGAAAGCAAGAGCAGAGTTCTAGAGGTAGAGCCAGGGGAAGGCAAGGAATGGGGTTGGACTGCCCATAATAATAACAACAATACCAGAATAAAGCTGCAACATCATTTGTGAATTATTGGGTAGCACTCTACTAAGAATTATTTGTAATTATTCTTAGGAGGAAGAGTGAAAATACATGGATACCAGGTAAGCAGAGAATCTCTCATCAATTCAATTTTTTACGGTTTATTTTGCCATTCAATAGATTTTTAAAAGCAGGCTGCCATTTTGCTAGCACTAGCCAAAGGAAAAGAGAACTCCTGTCTACATTTCCTCACTCACTTGCATGCACATGAGGATGTCTTTTATTCCTCAGTGATTTTAAAATGCCATGTTACAGAATGATGTTTTGTGCTGTAGAGCACATAAACCCTTTGACTCTTGACACAGGCATGCCTACTTAATCTAAATTACCCACATTTCTCTCAGGTAAATGAAGTGGGGGTGGAAAAGCTTACAGAGATTTTTGTTTCCTCTCTTTTCCAGGAGCCAACACCTCCCCCACGGTAAGATCACATCAGAGATCACTTACCTGTGCTCCCCGGGGAACTCAGTGCTAATGAATGCTCACATCCATCGCATCCATCTGTGCTGCTCATGGTAATGAGGTGCCTGGAAGTGAGCCAGCATCCTTCCACTGCTGGCTGTCTTTGGACTTAACAGGTTCTGATGTGGAATTAGGGAGAACAAAACACGAGCTCTGAGCATTCATAGCAGGAGCTCAGGCCTGCATCTTCAAAACCAGCCTGGCTGTGCCTGCAGACAAGTCAAAAGCCTAGAAATATTGAATCTGGTTCAACCCAGGTATAAATTGCTGGGGAAAAAAATATTCCACCAATTGAATTCGTGCCTTAGGCTCTGTTCACTGTGATAATATTGACTTCATTCTCACTTAAATCAATTTGCCTCTTTTTTTTTCCTACACATCTAAATCATGTATGGAAATCAACTGGAATATTTCCATTACTCCCACAGAAGACAGACCAAGCCCCATTCCACAAATATGTTTTTCTATATATATTTGTGGAATATGCCCACAAATAAAAAATTAATTACTTCTTGATTTGGTCAAACTCAAATAATAACTGCTATAATTAAAAAATCCTTTCAAAAGGTCATCTAGGAATGGCAAGCTTATTAATAACCTCCATGCCTACACTGACTGCCCTAAAACATAAAAAGAATTTTAAAATATTATTAGCATTACATATTTATATTTGACTCTAAAAAATATGAAATATCATAAAAGGGCAGTAAATCTTCACAAATTCAAAACCGTATTAATGCAGGAAGAAGAGCATTCTCAATTCATTATTCTGTAAAATTTCAAAAATTTGTTTCTGTTTGTATTACAGTGGCCAGAATGGTTCCTAATTCTCTCACTTGACTTAATTTGGGTAGGTAGTGTGCAGGCACACAAGGCTCCCTCCCCAGGAGCCCACCACTGAAGGCAGCTCTGCCAGCCACCTTGGATGCACCTCCAGTTCTGTCCAGCCAACCTCTCCATGCTGCAGCTTCCAGCTGGAGCTGGGCTGTGGCTGCCTGGTCTCAGAGCACACACAGGGCATGCCCACATCCCTCAGAAAACACCGGGCCCATGGCACCTCTGAGTTTTCTGGGATGAAGAACATTTTTTCCTCTGTGTCTGAAACTGGATTGTGTTCCGTGGACCATACACAGAGCCATACCCACCTGGAAATATCCACACTGCAGAGCTGTACTTGGCACACAAGAGCACTATTTAGTGGCACACACACAGTGCAGTAATGTCTTGCAAATGTAGAATATTGTCCAACATTACTGTTGCTGTTGAAGGGCCCTGAAGAGCTCCTGGATCTGAGCTTGGCTCAGCACAAATACATGGAAATACTCTCAGAAAATTCCAGTCTCTTACTTCCAGAACTTGCGCTTAAAACACAGTCCCTGCACCTCCTTTTTTCCCCAATAGCTCTTCAAGGTCTCTTTTGACTTCTCTAGGCCTCTGAAGATGCTGCCAAAGCAGTATCAGCCCCTTCCTCCAGAGCCAAGAATAAGCAGCCAGGTCCTACCCAAGAGGAACACGCTCAGCCGAGACCCCACCTTTCCAATATCAGCAGAAGTCACAAGGTACAGTGCATTCCTCACTTTGTTCCCTGAGAATCAAAACACTCTCGCTGCTCAAACCACAAAATTTTACTTCTGTCATACCTCTGCTTTGCTTAAGAAAGTTATTCTTTAGACAGCTGTGAATAATTGAGAGAAGTGGTATTTAGTGTAATGTGACACTGGCATTTTTTTTAAAAAAAGAAATGACAAAATAATGGTAAAGGAGTAGAAAAGCACACAGAATTTTCATGAACACTTCGTTTAAGATTTTTTTCCTTAATAATATTTAGAGGTCTTGCAACCACTTTTAAGTACAAAAATGCTATTTACTTAGCACAATTAGTGAATCAAGTGCTAGGGAAGCACACTGACTGCTCCAGAGATACAGAAACTCACTCCACATCCCAAAGACATTACATGCAGCAAAAGAAATGACTCATCTGTAGGCAGAAGTCTGGCTTCAGCCCATGGGACCAATGACTCCAAGCTACAAATCACTTCTTGCCCTTTGCATTTTGCACTCCTCAGCCACACAACACCCGTGGGCATTCAGCATCCTTGCACTTGCCTATTTTTTTATAAAGACCTGGCAGTGAGGATGAGCCACCTGAGGCACAAACACGCGTGCCCAGCTGTATGACCCAGCACATGCTCATGCCAGGCTAGGAGTCTGGTTGCTTTTTCCACACGACACACACCTGGCCAGATGAGCAGGAACACACTCTGCTCCCTGCCACACAAGCAGATGTGTGCCTGCTGTGTGACCAAAATTCACATTCATAACGGGGGACAGTGTTGGACACATGCTGGCAACAGGAATGACACAAATCCAGGGGTTATGATGCTCAAATGACTCCTATAGCAGCCAGAAGCTGTGTCAATCTTGTCCATCCTCCCTTAAATGATTTCAATTTCAGCTCATCAGGATGGAATTTTGCTTCATTTTACAGAGATCACTTCAAATCCTTTGGGGGGAAAATAAGCTTAGAAATCAAGAAAATAATCTTTGGCTTAAAGTATGTATTTAATGAGTGAGCTCTAATTATGGGTTATTGGGTTGTGTTTTTTTCCTGAATGGTGCTTAAATTTTTTCATGGCTTAGGTTCCAAAATATGTTGTTTGCTAAGACATTTTATTAATATGAAGTGGCTTCATACTCAGATGCAAGACCTGACATAGAGCTGCAAAGTTCCAAATCCCACAACTGAACCCCTCCCTTGGTAGGGCAGCACAGATTGAAAGCTTTTTGAGAAATGTTATAATCCATGCTGCCAGCAGATATCAGTATGCAGAGCGCTTGGATTTAAAAGGTCCTATTATAAAGCCAAATTCTGTAATATAAATACATGTCATGGCTGTTGTACTAGGGAGTTTTATTACATGAGTAAAACAGAAGTGGAACAGAATAAGACAACACAATATCTGGGAAGGCACTTGACAAATTTCCTACAAGCACTTCACTCAAAATATTTCTCACTCATCCTCAGTCCAGTTACAGCTTTGTAAGAAGAAAACAGACCCATGAGCTGCAGAGGGAAGGACTATGGCACCACAGCTTACAGCCCTTTGCTAGACTGAAAGCAAAGCTGTCCCACCAAATATGTGATTTAGGAGTGCAAGTCTTGTTTTCCAACAAAAATTGGAAGACATATAAAATTTAACACATCATTATTTATACACTCTAAAAAATAGCTTTATAAAAAAATAGGCAAGTGCAAGGTCCTGGAAGGTATGTTAGAAGCTCTGATGTGATTGAAACTTTTCTATGCCTGTGGTAAGCAGGCCATGCAAGGGCCATGTCCCTTGGAGGTGGAGGCCAGCCCTGCAAGCACATCTTTAATGTCATGGAACTTGACCACACATCCAGAGTCCTGAATATGAACTTTCACACACTAAGGAATGGCCCTGGAGACCAAGCGAACAAATGAAAGAAACTGACACAAAAACAACTATCCAAAGCAAAACAGTTCCTCTCCTTTCTCCTAGCCTTCTTGAATAATACTGATAATCTCCAAATTTCTTGCCTCAGGCCTCCATGTTGGTTGATGTTTTCAACACAGACATGAGGAAGAGAGCCCTTGTCCCTGTTGAAAAACAGCTCCCAGGGTTTCCTATACCAGATCTTCCTTTTGTCTTCTGACTGATTTAGCAAAATATCTCACTGTCATATTTTTTCAGTCCAGGAGACAGGCTAAGCAGGGACTAAAACTCAGAGCCTTCCAAAAACTACTAGATGCTTATTCACACCTTATGTTGCTAAATAGCTTGTAAAATCTGGTACCCTGCCTCTTTCATTAGGAGATACAAGCTACTAAAAGCTGCCATAAGCTTTCATCATAACCAAAACATCTAACAGAATTTGTCAGACTCAATACCTCATCCATTTTTTTTTTTGAAGGAGAATATTTCCTTCCCAGGAAAGGATACTTCTGTTGATCAGGCATATCAGGAGAAGGCAGAAAAATACCTTAACACCTATTTAATCAGGGCCATGAGGAACATTCTCCACTCATCTTTCCCTGTTTTGCACCTCCTTTCCCCTACACTTTCCATTTCAGCTCTGTGAATGTTTCATTTTTTAAATTCTTCAGTCTTTAAGGAACTTACTTCCATTTATAGCTGACTCTAACATGTGTAATAAGACTTTTTGGCATGAGATGAGAAGTGCTGAAGTTGATACTCCTCTTTTTCCCTTCCATCCAGTATAAATCCTTAACAAAGTTGTCTTTTACCGTAATGAATTCAGTGGATGCTATTCTTTTTTTAAGGAGGTCCAAGATAATTCTCCTGAAAATAATTCATGTAAAAAATAACCAGCCTCTGAACTTCTCTAGCAGTAGCAAAATCCTTCCCTTGTCAAGACGTAATCATCACTGATGATGTACTCAAAGTGATTTTTATCATAATTAAATATTTTGTTTATTATTCTTTCTTTTCCAGGCATTCTTCTGTTAGGAAATCAAATACAGTAAGTATTCATCTTTGTAAGTATTAGGACCATAAAATCCAAACACATTCCATGGCTATGTATGTATATGTAATAGTATTTTAGCCTATTAGGTTAAAAAACATGTAAGAGTCACATTAGCTTTGTGTCATAAAAGTGTCCATATTTAATATGTGTTGCAATTTCAATACTGCTACTTCCTGAATGGATGAGGTCAGTTTCTGAATTTGTTTGTAGAAATAAAAACAAAGGTACATTGTAAAGCTCCCTGTCCAACTGCCCACATAAAGCATCTCTTGTAACTGCCTGATGGGGATGCCTGTGAAGAGGGAGACACTCTCCTTCAGACAAACAGAGAATCCACATACATTTTTACAAGCAGAAAACTGAAATTTTAAGGTCAATAGAGGAGTCTAATAGCATTAATGTAATATAAATACTTGAAGTATAAGATGACCCATTTCAATATGAAACAAGAATGGACAAATTTTAAATCCAGTTTTAACAGTGCCTGCTATCCCCCAGCTCCCTTTGGCCTCTCCTTCCCCACTCACTTTCTACTCAGACCAATGAAGTAAAGCAGAGGTTTTAGCAATAAGGGGGTTTAGTTATGACAAGAGGTTTCCTATAAAGCTTATTAAGAAATACAGTCCCTACAATCATGCAGAGTGTTAAAGAATGTTTGTAAAATTTGGAAAGAGGTTATCATTTATAGCATTTTGTGCTTCTTACTGAATGTTTTAGTTCCTGCACTAATGTGTTCCTACTGAATTGGTTTTATTTTTCTCTCATTAAAGGGAACAGAAGAAAGGAATCTAGAGTAGTTAATCCCAACTGTTTCCTTCTACAGCAGGTTGAAGCACAAATCTGCAGACTTGTCTAAATTTTAAATCCATTGAGTTTTTCTTCCCCACAGCTCTGACTAGGAGGCTGCCCCAAACCTCACTCCTCCTGATTAGAAGCTTTAGTTTGAAAGATGGTGACAAAAACATGGTTTGATAGCAATATTGTAATCAACACTTACTGCTTAAAAAAATGATATATTGGCAAGAAAGACACCATTTAAAAAAAAAAAAGGTTTTTCTTCTCCTGGATGCTGACTCATTACAAACCAAATACGAAAACACTCCCAAGAAAAATAAATATCTTACATCTGTAATTAATATTTCTGGCTGAACAGTGTACAGCTGCACAAATACTTCAGCTCTTAACAGACTCTTAGTTTGGTTACATCTTAAGGAGAAATAGTGTGTGTCTCATGACATGGAAAAGATAAAATTTAATTTTGGTCACTTCCCATTCCTATAGATATGCAGGCCTAGACAGTTTCAGTGTGACCTGGAGAAGAGAATGTGCCCTTGTCAGGGTTTCAAACACCAAAGAGCAGGTTTGAGAGAAGGACTGCCCCTCACCACAACCCAGCCAGGCTGCAGGAAAGGGTACTGAGGGGCCTCTTGAAATTGGAAAGAACAAAGGCAAAATGCAACCTAAGAATGAACTAAACCTTCTGCTCAGCTCAGAAGGACCTGGGGACCAAAGGCTGAACACGAGCTCTGGTGTATCCTGGATAGCCATAAAGGCCAAGAGCATCCCAGAGAACAGGGGAAGGGACAATTCCCTTTTGACTTTACTCACCACTCACTGGACAACACCTGCAGAACTGCTCAGAGAGGGTCAGCACAGGGTCTCCAGGACGTGGAGTGCCTGTGAAATGAGTCTGGTGGGACTGGGCTGCCCTTGCCTGGAGAGGGACGGCCCTGGGGGAGCCCAACAGCTGCCAGGCAGTGTCTGAGGGATGTTTGTCAAAAAGGCAGAGCATGGTGCACCACAGAGTGCATAGGGGAAGTACAAGAGGCAACAGTCTTGAAATGATGAAGGTTTCAATCAGAAATAGGGGAAAAAATAATTATGAGGGTATTGAAAGAGGTTTGCAAGAGAGGTTTGCAAGACCTGGTTAAAGCTCTGAGATCCCAGGTCTCATCTCACAGTTCTCCCTGCTTTAAGCAGGTCCTTGGGCTAGGACCTGCCCAGGTCTTGTTCAGCCTGAATAAGACTTAAAATTTCCAAGTAATCAGTAAACATAATTGGGGAAGTAACTTATAAGGAAAGTTCAAAATGCAGTACCTACCAAAAAACCTTTTTTTTTCTCTTTAATATTTATGCATTATAGTCTTAGATGCATCAAATTAACAAACAAAATAATTTATATTACCATTATTTTTATCTGTGAATCAAAATAATAAAGAAATACAGTGAAAGTTTAGGAGCCAAACTCCAATCTTTAGAAACCTATCATTCTTAATTTTAACATAATGTGTTGGATTAAGACTCTCCACACAGTGATTTTGAATGAAATATCTGCCATGACAGTAAAATAATTGTGCTGTCAGTTAAGGAGCCTAAAAAGAAGTGACTGATTTTAATCTTTGGGTCTCTCCAGTCAGCCATAATCAATCTCAATTTAATACAAGATCAAGGAAGGAAAACCATATTCTAAGTTAAATTGATACACAGTAGCCATCATGAAATGGTGATCTTTGCAGTAAACCACATGTTCACTTACACCCCTAAAAAGCATAATTCTCATTGTTGCTAGCAGACTGAGATCAGCATTCAGCCCAGGTTTTTGACAAAGTGATCAGTTATTAATGATTGAATGTCTATAAATGACTTAAAACTGGTGGATAGTTGGATCTGTAGTTGGGGTAAATTCAAGTTACAAATCCAAAGAAAAATATTTACTATGTTATCATTTTATACAGGTACCTGGAAGACAGCAAGGTCAGTATTCAATATTATTATAATAATTTGTTTTCTTTCCTTTATATTCCAAAACTAAAATATTCTATCATTAAAATTCTAACTGAAACAAGAGACATTCCCCAGGTATACATCTGCTACGCATGGAGAGAGTTAGAAACCTCAACAGTTGCTGATGAGCAGCAGAAAAAAGGAAACTTAACTTGGCCTTAGCTACAGCTATTTGGGGAGCCAGGGTAACACATTTGTCCTAAGCAAGTGTCTTTTGGTTTTGGGGAAAATGAGAGTGTTGGTGCCTAAAAAAAACTCCAAAAGAGATCTGCACAGAGGACATCACCCTTCTGATAATCTTGCTGCTCTACCATTATTTGAGGGTGAGAATTTTGGAATAAAGTTTTTGAAAAGCTTTAGGCTTTTAAAGCTAATTTTTCTTTTAAAATTTGAAACCTCCAATGTTTTAAAAACATGTCAATTCTTTAAATGTACATACAGGTTTGAAAAAAGGGCTCAAACCACTCACTGTGTCCATGTGCACAAAGGTCCATGACAAACAACATTACTCCAAAATACTTTGAAGACAAATACAGGTTACATGGCTTTCACGCTGTTTATACTTTGTGTTAATTTAATAAGTTCATCATTTCCTCTGGCTTTTCCTTTTGTGGATTAAGGCACTATTTCCTGATTTTCAGCAAGAAATAGAATCGACTGCTTTAATAAATTCAATGCCTATCCTGTCCTATAAAAAGAATTTATGAACTCTCCACATACTTCTTGTTCAACATTCTACATTATTTACTATTATGTGAAGCCATATTTGGCATCAGCAAACCCTGTAATGTCCCCCATGTAACATTCAGTCCTAGTCCAAATGTTTCCCACTGAAATCATTAGCTGACTCATTCAAGCCAGACTGATTACAGCCCCTTAAGGTTTTCTATTGAACTGCCTCACCCTGATGTACCCTGAATTTACTTAATTCATTTCACAGGAGTTGCTAGATGCTCTCAGTTAGACCAAAGGGGAAATACTAAGTTCTTATCCTTTTTACTAACAGTTACAAGTTTGGGGAAGAAACCTGAAGTACCTTTTCAAGCACAACATCATCCTCCTGAAGCCAGGTAGGAATAGAAGAATTTAATGAGTTTGTACTGGATGCTTCAAAGACTAAACATTCTGCCCTAGAAAATTGCACTTCACTGTGCAACAACAGCAAAATGATACCACTTTCTGATGCCATGCAGTGATATCTTTTGCCCTGATGTATGTCAAGAACATCTTTGGGAATTTCTTTCAAGCCTTTGTAATTGCACAGCCAATTTTTATCTTTAATAGCATGCTGCTGTATTACATTTCTGCTGCTATTTCTGTGACAGGTTGTTAAATATATTTTATAAAGAAGTTCTGCTATCTCCAGCCTCAGAATTTCCTCTCCCCCTCATTTTCTATTTTTATTTACAAAGGATACACACCTGGCTCTCCAAAGGCTGATTATTTTTCCACAGAAATCTTCCATAGTTAGACCTACTTTGTTTTTCTAACCTATACAAATCTTTCCTTTCTAAATGTCTATAATCTCTATTCCACTGAAATATGCAACAAAACTCAAAAATATAGGAGACAGCATAGGAAGTGTATGAATGATTTAACATCCTCCCTAGACAAATACAGTATCTCTCATGCAACATTGTTTACAATAAAGGCATTTCACTGGGATAAAATTACTGTATGGAGCAAATATGACCATATTTGTGACCCCTAGTATTCTCTTTCTTCTTATGCTTCTGTTGTGAGAAGTTATTTGGTCAGTATTCCTCCTGGTGTAACACAACAAAATACTACCTGGCCAGCCACTCAGGAGTGGTCTAGAAAATCAGAAGAGGCAGGGAGGAACTGCTCCCTGGGCCTTCCTATAGAGGCACTGGGAACATCACCTGAAATTAGCAGTGAACAAAAGCAACTGTGCTTTACTACACATGCAGTGTATCCTTTTATGAAGACTAAAAACCCCCAAAACTCTGTGCAATTTGAAAAAGTGGCTCAGAAAATAAGGGAAATCTGTCAAAAGACACTAAATACAAAATTACCACCCAAAACCTGGGAAGGCCCAAAACTGCCATCAGTAAGAGAAAGGGGTATTCTGGGGAAGCACAGCTATGCATTGCTCTCTAATTTGACTCTTACACTGCCAGTATAAGAAATATTTTTCTGACATTATTTTATTCATTGCTTTTTCCTAGCCCTCAAAGTACACGGAGCTCTAAGAACATTTGCAGATCAGGTAAGAACCAGAGATTGCTTTGAAAGCCAAACTAAACATGGAAAAATCAGAATAAGAAACAGATTCAGGTTGCTATGCTTGTATGTCTGCACTGAGGATTTTCAATGCACTTCCTACTGCCCTTGACTACACAGCATACTTTTACTCTCCTGTAACTGTCTCTGCAAATGTCCTTTTTGATCAAAAAAACAAACCCCTAAGCTGTGCCACGAACCTATGAGTGCTTAACATGAACTTATGGTAAAAAGAAATACCACCAGGAAGAACATATGGACTTCATTATGTGTTCAGGTCAAGTAGGATTCAAATTAACTGTGGTCACTGCCAGGCAAACCAAACCCACCTCCCCCAGCTTTGCTTCACAGGCCCCAGCTCCCGGATTCTGGGGGGTCCCTCCATTGAGCCTCTTCCTTCTTGTGCTGGGGTGCAATTGCACACACTCTCCTCTGGACACCTACTAAAAACCCTTCTGTACAGAATCCACAAGGCTCATCTAGGTCTCTGTTTGCTGCTGCCACTGCAGACACTTCCCACCATCCTTACCAGGGCTTTTGCTCCTTTAGGCTCTCTGGGACAGCAGAGTATCTTTTTTCCTCTGTCAATTCCTTGCCCTCCTGAAACAACAGGGGGAGAACAAATAAGTAGCCTTTCCCCTGCTACTCTATAATTGCCTTTAAAGTCTATATTTGGCTTAAAGAATATTGTAAGAACAAATATTAATTTTATTAAATCTTATTTCTTGACAAGGTGTCGTTAGCTCCCTCTCAGCCAGACTTGGTACATAAGCATTGCAAGAGAATTTTAATTTTACCCTTCTTATCCCACACCTTAAGACACATCAGGAAAAAGATCTGCAAAAAATACACAGCACAGGTCCAAAGCAACTATGGCCCTAGCAGAGGGGTCTCTTTAAAATAAATCTAGGGATGCCAGCCACTAAAAATGCAATGCAAACAAAAATGCAAAAATCATGATCCAATAAGCTGAACAGTAAGAACATATCACATTTTGACAAGTCAAAGTGATTGCAGAAACAACAGGTTGATGACTGGTGCCAGGCCCTTTGAACAGTGGTTTCATTACTGAACAGACTGAACCGCCTGCTAAATATCATGGCTCTTTGTCTACTGCTATCTTGTTTTAAAAGCAAAAGTAACACAGTTATAAATCAGAACAGGGAACAAATATGAACAAATATAAATGGAACGGTGAAAGGCAGTGAAAACCACTCCCCCTCTTAAAAGAAAGTCATCCTAGTAAAATTTAATATTGCTATATGCTACACACCAGCATAACAATAATAAACTGATAAAGCATGAGCAGATAAAGCACAATTAAATACCACCTGTCTCTGGTGAGAGTAACCAGAAGGTAAAGATGGAAGCCATTGATAAACACATTTTTCTCATTTACTTTTAAAATAGACACTGGATCATTTCTCCCACAAGCATTGCATGAAAAACACAAAACTGTTTTCCGTTATACAGCAGAATATGGTGGTTTTTATCTTCAATTAACAATTTTTCCTCATGTCACACATCTGAAAATTACATTTGATCTCCACATTGAAAGGAAGCCCTTGCTTTTCTGAGGCTGTTTCTGCATCCTCACAGTCAGCCCAGGCCTCCTGTATTACATGACTTCTTGTGCTCCTGACCAATCCCTGCATTTCCTTAGCTCCACAGAGACCTGGGTAGCTGGGTCCAGCTTGTAAAGACAGCAAATCACATTTGCTGTGGGAGAAGGATTTCAGCTACTCCAGGCCCCTGTGCCAGCAGCACTGCATGGAGAGGCACACTCAGCCAAAGACCAACAGCTTCTCCTTAATGCAACAGCAACCTCAGCCCTTGGTACTGAATTTGTTAACTCAAACAAGTCACAGAGAAAACTGAAACTCAGCAGCATGGCAGAGCTTCTGAATCATCTGAGATTTCAACAGCTTAGTAGAAACAATCCTCGTTGGCAATGGAATAATGAGAGGCTTTAATATGATCCAATGTAACAGCAACACAAATAAATCCAACACAAATAAAAGGGCTCAAAGGTGAAAGTAGAACAGAATGAACCACTATCCTTGTCCTATATTTAGTATTTTATTTAGCATTTGCTGTTTCATTTACAGTTTATTATTTTGCTATGTCCACAATAGCCTGTCAGACTGAAGTCAATTAAAAACCATCAGGAATCTTATGTGTTAAATCTCTGGGGGCATTAATCTGAAATCATTGATGCGGCATTAGCATAAGACCACTCTTAACACACAGCTCTAAATTTTAAAGGTTAATATCAAAATACTCTAAATTAAAAGTACTATGCTCAAAAATACTAAGTAAAACATAGTGTAAAATTAAATTATAGCTTTTAAGAATGCAACCTTTTTTCTTCTGAATTTACTTTTACAGGTTCCACATTAAGTGTAGATAATTTGACAGTGAAGAAGCCACCACCTCCTACATCATACGCAGCATGCAAAAATAAATCAAAACATTTGCTTGTAGAACAGGAAATGCAATCTCTTACCAAACCCACTGAAAAGGTAAAGAACAGCTTTGCTACATAAAAATACAAGTCTTTAGGAAACAGGATTAACACTATATGGTACCACCCCGGATTCCCTCTGAAAGCTGTGGGTGTTCAGCACCATTTAGAAAGTCCAATATGAGCTCTTGAAACCATGGATAAGAATGTAAATGTCTAATTTAATTAACAATTCCTAACAGGACTTCTCAATATAGATGCATTACCATTATATACTGTGCTGCATATGCTTTAAATGCAGATTAGATAGAATCTGATTTTTATTCTGCTTGTTGTTAATTTCTATACACTGATTACGCTATCTTAAAATTAAGGATTTAAACAAATGTGAGTGGTATGTTGGAGAATATGATCGCCATAAAGCAGAGAAGATCCTGTTACAGAAAAACACTGTAAGTACCATTTATGTCAAAACATGGGATGTGAACTCCTGGGGGAAAATTTCTGTAAGCTGTCCACAATGGCATACAAGTTTTGTTGTGAACTAACCATACAATCCATCATTTAAATCTGTATCTTTCAGGATGAGACATTCTTGGTTAGAGATTGTTCAAAGAAATCAAAGGCTGAACCATACGTGTTGGTTGTTTATTATGGAAGAAGAGTATACAACATTAAAGTACGGTTCCTGGAAGAGAGCCAACAATACGCCTTGGGAACAGGGCTCAGAGGAGAGTGTGTAAGTAAAATCCCATCTGCTGTAACAGCCCATGGCTTTTATGTTAGACCTCACAAGTTCTTAATACTAAATATTAGTTACAAACTCTCCCACATAACAAACTTGTTGTTTCGTTAAAGTTTCTTTTACAATACCCGAATTTTAAGTGTCTCAAAATTCGAGCAGCTTCAACATAATTTAATACCAAATCTTGCATACCATGCTGAAATTCATATTTTCATCAATTTTAAAATCTTCTAAGTACTTACAATACTTCTATCTATTGTAAGTAGCACCTGCAAACTAAAAAGGAAAGAGAAGCTCTACCTTTTCTGGTATACATATTATTTTAGCATATTTTTAAACTTGTGATAATTTAAGCAGGCATTTTCAAACATATACAGCTCCACATAATATGACAGCAGGACCTAGTGCTATGAAGCAATAGGATAACAGTTGTCATGGATATTCAGAAGCAATTAAATCATGTGGGTCCCTAGCAATCAGTCTTTCAGATATGGTAAATTTCAATTAGAAAATCCCTTTAGATGAACAAAGCTTCTTTACATAATTAAATTCAATTATAGTCATGATAAAAGTCTAATCCTTATTTTTCATATATGGTTAAATGATAAACACTGTATCTGCAAGTCTTTCACACAAGAAAAAAATAATTAAAACTGAAAGTCAACTCCATAAAAATGTGGTACTTGCAAAACAAAACAAAAGAACCAAACAAAGATTTTAAAAAAGACAAACACAATGTAAAATTTAAAGAATGCTCAACTACAGAACAAAAAAGCAAGGCAACAAACTCCTATGGGTCATTAGCTATGTAAATCACAAACAGAAATCCAACTCAGGTGAACCAGCAAAAACTCTGTAGCTGAATCTTCAATTATATCCTTTTCATGCATGTCAACACTTTTCAGAACTTACCTTTTGTATGGTTAGACTTTAAAAAGCCTGAAATCACAAGTGACCCAAGATGATTTAAGGCATTTGATGGGTCCAAAGCTTATATTAAAATTTTTATTAGAAAACATGGGATAGGATCCATAAGCTTTCACAAGAGGAACAATGTTTACTGGCAAGTTGTTCTTCAGGGACATTTGCTTAATGATAAAGGGGGAAAAATCCTTCATTATGCAAGCACGGTGAAACAGTTTGGAAGCTGGAAGGTTGCACAAATCAAGACCTGCACTGCATCATCCTGGTGCTGCTGTAGTGACCATCAGTATTCTGTAAAGCACTGGCTTCATTACTGACCTGAAACTCCCAGATGATTTCCTGGAATTTTAGTATGACTTAGGAGAAAACAAGTTTAGTTTTCCATGGTTCTAACATTGTTTAGTCTTCCTGTAATGGCTCTAATACAAACAGGCTCAGAACAGACACAATGACACCAATAAGGCATGCTACAGCATAATGTAGTATATGTGTATTCTCAGTAGAGAACAAAGATCCAGAACTAAATTTTCATTAGGTTAACAGTTTTAACGATTAAGGTAACTGGAAAATTACTTGAACAGTACATGAACAATTTTTACTGAACTAAAAGGAAGGAGAACACAATCCCTCCCATCTCAGGAAATACCAAAATATATGACTTTGTTGTTTGTTCCAACTTCTGCACAGACAGTACATATCTTAAACAGTGGGTCTGGACTGACTAGTCAAATTGCAAAGTACAGCTCCAAAATAAGAATTCCAAGCATCCAGTTAACAGCACAAAGAACATCCAAGACTTGGCTCTACCAGGCCAAATCTGTAATCATGACTGCCTACCTTATGCCTTCTTCTTGGAGGATTCTTTCTCTTTAACTCAAATCTTCCCCTGGATCAAGCACAACAGAAAAAATCAGAACTGCTTTGCTGGTCAACTAAGTGTTGCACCAGGGAATCACAAACATGGCAATCTTCCACTCCTATGCATTATTCTCAGCAGTAGACATGAAAATAGAACAGGGCACAAAGCACATATGCAGTAATGAACAACCAGTGGCACCAACATTGCTCAGAAGAGCTTCTTCCATCTCAGGCATTCTCATAGGGTTCTTCAAAAGGGCTCTTTCTTGAAAATTCTCACCTCAATTTTTGCAGCTTATCTAAGGGGTTTTTTCCAAAGAAAGTGACAACACTTTGTAAGGCTGTGAATTACAGAAAATTGCTGTCTATAATTTTTAGTACCCATTAAAAAGCTTTCCAGAGCATTCTGCTTAGCCCCTCTGCAGGCATACCCTTTGTTACACCACATTTTGCAGTGCAGCCAGACCTTGCTGCTTCATCTAGATTAGCTGAATATTCCCTCTTCAAGCCAATGAGAAAGAAAACTAAACACCAACCAACATGTGCAGACCTATTACATTTTTCCACAGTTGGTGATTATATTCAGAGATTTGGTCTTGCAGTGTGTTTTCACTTTTGAATTAATCTATTTTCATCCATTAAAAACACATTTTTCCTCACACATAAATATAATTATTCAAAGTTTCTGTATCTTATTGCAACTTCCGATTTTTACTATACAGCCTACAAGTTGTTAACATATTGTATCACCAAATAAGATTTTAAATTAACAGTTATTTTTCAAAATGTATTTCATTTAACTCTCATGAGTGCTTTTATTATTAGTTCCCATGTAGCCCTGTAAGGTCGTAAGGAGGAAAAAAGGGATTGATCATCAGATTTTTATGGTAAAAGTAACTGAAGTTCCATGCAGCCAAATTAGTATCAAACTCAAATATAAAAAATTGAAGGATAAAAAAAAGAAAATAATTTACTCTCTTAGTGGAGCTACATTTTTGCTAGCTATTTAGCCACAGATGTTCACACCTACATATTTAATATACCATATTGAGCTTTCTAAAGGCCAAATTACATAAAGCTATAAAGTTCAGATCCCCAAATGACACATACATGGAATTTAGGAACTTATATTCAAAACTGAGCACCCTTTACTTGGCTGTTGCTTTCCTCTATTCCAGACAATGTCACTATTAAAGACCCAGAGATCCTTGTAACACTGGCTTTTTTCATCTGCATAGTTCTTTTGAAAATGATGAAATACAAACCTTGCTCATATTTAAAGCTGATCATGACACAGAGTTTACATATTTTTCTTATCTCCTTTTCAAAACTAGATCTGCCACATGTAAAATACATGGTTTTAGCATCTCTGCAGTATCAGTCTCAAATCCCAGAGCAGTGAAAAATGTGTAAAAATGAAAGACAGAAGTAGGCTTCTCTTTATCTTGGTGCCTGCTTTACACAGAAGATCAGAGCAGAGCCTGATGTGTATCTCTGGATCTCCCTGTTCCAGCCACAGATACTTTCTCCATCCTCACCACTGCATTTGCAGTGACCTTTCATCTTCAAACTGTAAGTCATAACAGTCACATAACTTCACTCAATTAATTTCCATGTGAGCCAAAAGGATTAGCTGCACCCACCTTCAGCAGCCACCAAACTGGCCTGGCCCATCCCAGCAGATCAGGGAGCATTCCCACATTGCCTCCCAGTGACAGTGTCATGTCAACAGTTACTGCAGGAAAAGTGGCACAACAAACAGCCAGGACCTTCAGCTCAGTGAGGTTTACAAGATAAGCATCTTGTCCACAGCTTAAATGACAACTCAGGGATGAAAGGTCTCCTTCAGGATGTGCAACATAGCCCAGAGTTACACCACCCCTCCAACACAATTGAGAGCTACACCTTTCACAAGCAACCCTTGAGACCCTACTCCCATCTCCCCAGAACTGGAGACCTGCAGATGGGAAATTCCTACAGCAGCAGAGATGGGCTGAATCTCTTCACACAGCAAAGGGAAACCAATCAAATACTGAATTTTCTTCATCTTTATGTCTCTAGGTGTCTTTACACCTAAGAAAATGTGGAGTTCCATTAAAAGAGCAGAGAACATCAAATTCTGAGACATTTTTCACCCATTACCAAAGAGCTAGAAAAATGAACAATGTGGCATTAACCTAGTGAAGCCTAATTACATTTCCAAAGCAGATGAACAATCATTGTAGACTTTCTGACTTCCCAACCAGAAAACATTCAAACACAGGAAAAGAACAGGCGCTGGAAGTGTTAATTTAGAATAAAAAAAGTAATGAGTACTTTCATAAGGCATGAAATACAGACCACAGTTTTGCCTCAGTTTTCAGTAGCAACAGTGACTTTGAACATAAGCAAAGACAAAACAAATGCATACGTGTAAAAATTATCAAAACAAAACTTGAAAAAATTACCATACTAGCTTTGAGATCAAACAATTTTCATCTTAATACAGGAACAGTTTGCCCAAATCACATCCTTAATCAGATTCTGTCGTTATAAACTAGGTGTCAATCAGGTGGGGGTGATAGACACTACCATGAGACACCACCAAGTGTAGAATGAAGAGCCATGCTTACAGCAAATGTTATATAAATAGGTGATAAGTACTAATGGTCAAAGTAAGCTTTCATTACTGTGTGCAGTTCTGGTGGTTCAATACAATGAGTAATACAAAGGCTAGCTCCAGAGGAAAACACTGATATGATGAGAGCTTTGTGGTGTGATGAGAGCTTAGAAGGTACACACAGGGAACAGAACTCTTAAACTGAAGGACTGCTAATCATTGGAATGGGATTCTTCCACTAGGGCAGATGAGAATAAACACCTTGTGTAGTTTTCTCTTGCTGTTTGATCAGGTCAGCAACCTTGAACCAGACCTTTATCACTTGAGGAGTTGCCTGGAGAATGTCATTACTTGAGCATGAGAGAACATGATGCTTCTTGTTCCATACTTCAAAGGGATTCTATAGCAACTGTCTCAATAAACTGAATGGGAAAACAAAGTGTAATTTAATAAGGTACATTGAAGCTTGCAGTGTAAAATATCATGTACCGCTAATTAAGTGTAATTGGGCAGGAAAAAAAAACTAGTAACAATTTATAGTTGCTTCATCATTTCAATATCTATTCTCACATCTGGCATCATAACCTTTTATATGTGATACTGCACTACCAGGGCTTAGAAATGCTTCCTTTCCCTAAGGAGCTAGTTGCTTTGTCCTGCATATGACAGAGACACAAAAAAGAAATATGAGGATCAAAATATGGTGCTTTTCCTTTTAGAATTGCTTTCATCTAATCATAATTCCATGCAAAATGTTACCTATTTTAATACTATCATTTGCAAGTCTTTTACTGTTATAGATTAAACCATCTAGCAACTTCAATCTCAGTCACTGATTACTATCTTTCCCCCCACAGAAATTTAATTCCGTGGAAGAGATCATTGACTTCTACAGATCTGTTCCCATAACGCTCATTGACGGAAAGGATCAGTCAGGAAACCACAGAGAACAATGCTACCTCACACATCCATTCAAGGCATGCTGATATGGACAATGCTACCTCACACATCCATTCAAGGCAGGCTGATCTTTGCTGCCTCATTGTCGCTGATTCATCTGTACAGATATAAATAGAACACTTCTTGAAATGTCTCAGAAATCAGATTCGCCTCTTGAGCAAGGAGCTCCCCATAATATAATGAAGCATTCTACAGATCTACTCCATTTTTTGTTTGTTGCACTTTCACTTTGAGGGTACAAGTAAAGAATATGTCGACATATTAATTCACAGGAAGGCGTTGAGACCGACTCCTGATATCTTGACAATGACTGAGCAATTTGCTTATCTTGCACTGTATCTTCTTATTTTCAGATGAAAATCAAACTTGCCCCTGCTTACCTAAATGTCATTTAAACTCTGCTAAGTAGCAAAACCTAATAAAGTATACCACAGTCATTAAATAAATCTTCTTGCTTTTAAAAATACACATGAAACACTGTGTGTCACAGTTCTCACTGTCTAACAATTTCATGTGGTGTGCATATGTTTGCTCAACAACAAGCTGTGCTCAGCTGCCACTGAAGTTAGTGTCAGTTGATGCTTACAGGCACTGGAGATTTTAAAGCTAGCTGTAATTATGTAAATTCTATTATTCAATGAGTACTTACTCTCCAACTTAAGTAGCAGATACTTGTATGCCATACCTGAGCCTTCAAACACTTACATGGTAGGACCATTATGCAAACAGTCACTTTGAATTCATACCATATGCAAATGTAGAGATAAAAATCTTAAGTAGAAAGAGTAGATGTACTTCAAACCCAGCAAGAAAACATGTTTTAGTATGTATGAGCAAAGAACATGAGAATGTGATTATTTTTCCAGAAAAAAATACAGAAATATTTATTCATACAATTTTGGGTTTTGGAAGCCTACCTAAATTCTGTATGTATATGAAGGCTAACTACAGTTCCATATGTACACGAAGGGATTTTTCTGTACAGCACTGATAACCTGCCTAACCACACTAGAAGTCTGACTAGGTTATTGTAATATACCAAAAAAGGTATATTACAATAACCTAGTTACTTTAGAACCTCAGTCACTCTATCCTTTTAGAATAGGAACAAGAAGAACAAAACCACTCAAGCCCAAAACCACAACATTCCAACCCAATTTATGACATAATATGTAGTGGTACAAACTAGCTCTAAAAAAATTCAGCAGTTGATTATTATTTTCTTTGAATCATTTTATTTCTCATTGCTGAGTCAAAAGGGAAGAAAACATCCACTGTAAATTATTTCTCTCAAACTGATGACACTGTTAAACTTGAAGGAAATTTTCCTGACATATTTTTATCTAATAAAAGTAAAAAAACAGAAGCTGCTAAAATGGAGTTTAGCAGAGTTCATAACAAAAAGCATGACATAATCTGCTTTAAGAATTTCATAACCACAATACAATTTAACTTACAAAAGGTTTTCATGTTGAAACAAAAAAAAAATCTACATAAAAAACCATAAAAACCCCAAGGTTTAACAATTTAGATAACAGATTATGGCAGTGACATACAGAGCTTTGCAGATGTCTACTAAAGTAAACTTGCTTACAGAAGACAAGCATTACTAGTGTACTTAAACCACCCAGAATCCACAAAGCTGAGCAGCAACACTTTCTCCATTTCCCCCAGTACAGCTTTCATGAGCAATGTTCTGATTTTGCCAGTGACAACTCTTACAAAGCAAATTCAAAACTATTTATTTGGTAGCTTCTACAGAAACAAAGTTAATTCAACCAGTAACCTGTATTGAAGGAATTAAAACAAAAGAGGAATGCTAACCATGGGGTTTTTTGTGTTAACCATTTCAGTATTCATTTTATATGTTATGCTATAATTTTAAAATCACAACTATTTTCACCATTGAAAGTGCAAATAGCACTGTTAGGTTTGGCATCAAAGCGTATGAAGTGGGGGAAAAAAACCCTCAAGTGTACCCATCTAAAAAAATATAATTCCATTTGAATACAAAATGAGAACTGTCATTTCCTTATTACTGACGAAACAGGAAAAACAAAGTTTGTTCTGTGGAATAGTTTAGTCTGATACAAATGATACAAAAATTTTCCATGTGTACACGATGAAAAGATCTGACTTAAAGCACCAGCTATCGGAAGGATTTTAACACTGTATTGCAAAATTATGGGAAAGCAATAAGTGGTTTTGAAAGTAAACCTCAGTCAGATGTAGTTTTAAAATATTTACATTCTAATGTAGATATGATAAATATTTTATCAAAACAATGTATAATCTGCTGGAGTATATAAAAAAATATTCCCAGCTAAACTGTTTACAAAAATGCACCATCAGTGAAAGGATTTAGGGACTACCAGTTTACCAGAGAAGTCCCAGTTCAAACATAGAACACACATCCAGCATTAGAGTCAGTATTGATTTTCATATTTTTAAAACTGTAACACATTATTTTAATCATAAGTATGTGCTTCAATATACTTCATTCTATATGATTCCAAAATGATTTAAAATTGACAAGATGAAGAGAAACATCCACAGCTCACATACAGAAACAGTAACTTCAGTGTCATCCATCCCTCTTTTTTACTAAAAAGCTGTCATTTGGCCCTGATTTAGAGAAGTGTTTAAGCAATTGAGCAATGTTTTACACTGCACTGAAGTCAGTACACATCAGACATAATCTGTAACTAGGCACATGCTTGTATGAATTTGAGGCCTACAAAAAATAAATTGTAACAACATCTAAATTCTTAAATACGATGAAAGATTGCACTGAAAATCTGGTTCAACACTGTCATGTAAAAGCTGTGCAACGTGGCTTTTCAGTTTGAAAAGTCTTCAACAAGCTCCCTAGTAAATCAGCTCACCAACTAGAGTTCTAACCAAATACTGAGTCTGTAAATGCTTCTATCACACACAAGGTGGTACAGAGTTTATGTCTGGCTAATACTATTTTAGAACAGCCTTGAGGCCATTTAGAGAAATGCTTTTCACTATCAGCCCAAGCCTGAAGGTATCTCTGGCTTGATGGCACAGAATCCTCCCGGTGTTCTGCTCCCTCTCATCTACACAACACAGTCTAGGTAAAGACTCAGTACTAAACAAAAGTAAATTTTTTGTGCTATCTGACCTAGAAGGAGTAACTGATTCCATAGATTTTTTCATTTACACCCTTGTACCTCCTCTGAAGTCAGCAGAAGTGTTTTTATTCCACTGAAACACAGCGCTTGCATTTAAATTTTACTTTTTATGTGTAATGCTTAATTTGCCACTAAAACCTATGACTTACACTTGCTGTCCATGGAGGACCAAAAGTGCATTTCCATACAGATGTGCTCGATCTTTGAAACACCATGCTGTAATAAAGCAAACTAATCCTGTTAAATTTACAAAGATCCCATCATCTAAGATTTTAATCCATACAGACCTAGCACAAACCACGTACAGCATAGTATCCTAAGGTAACTACAAAGATGTTTGCATAGCAAATCTTCTTCAAATTTTTCCTATGGAACAGATGAAGCTGGTCTCCAATACAAATTTCAATCACAAGAGTGCAAAGTGGTGCTTAATCCTCACTATTAGCTTCTCTATCTCTCGGTACCTCTACTCTCTTCTTCACTTTGCTAACAGCAAAGGACTTTTGGCAAAATAAAGCAGTTATTTCCTCCATTTTAGGCAAGTTAGTGTCACTCATTAAAAGCAAGAGGGGAAACCTCCCCTAGGCTCTCACTTAACGTTTTCTTGCTTGAAGAGAAAGAACATCCCAGCCCTTGGTTGCCTCTATTAAGTGTCTCTGTCCATGACTTATCCATTCTTCTTGGTCCATATATACTCTCCCACAAAACCAACACTTAAAGAGACACCTAAGTGCTTCAGCTGGTGAAGTTTCCACCACTTGATAGTTGTTTTTGTGGGTCTTTTTTAGCTTCATTTTTAGCATACTCCGCTTTTTTGCTTGGTTTCCTGTCTCACCATTCTGAAGAGTAAGACGCTTTCGATAACGTTTGACACCAAGACAACTACTTGTCCTTTCTGACAGAACTACTTTCAGGACTTGACCTTTATACTTGTTGATAGTCTTCATGACATTAATTATCTCTGGTGAATCAACATCAGGATGGTTTAGTACCACAACTGGCTGATTACGACGAGGGCATTTTATCAACTGATTCGTTTTCAGAGGAAGAAGTCGAAGACGCCTTGCTGTCAACAGGTATGACATATCAGAACTTGAAGTGGTTTCTGACTGAGCTCTTGTTTTCCTCTTAGGAAGTTCTCTGAATCTCGTTTGTCTTGCCTTATTTTTGGGACTTTTTGAATAGGGCTTGCTTTGCTTGCTCACATCACTGCTTTTCTGAAATGCTACACTAGTTTGCTTGCTGTTATTTTTAGCACTTGCCTCTCGCTTTGGTCTTTGCCTGAGTGATATAGTTTGGGACTCAGCACTTGGTTCACTCTGATTAGGCAAACATGGGAAATTACTGCTGAGTGCCTCAGAAACACTGATGGGGACTGGGCGAGGCAGGAACATTTCATTGTGATGCACAGGAGCTGATGTTTCACCCCTGTTTTCTATTCCACATGAGCTTTGACTGCTGGTAGCATTCAGCACTCTCAGCATTGTCCCTTTGGGGATGAACACCGGGGTAGCAACATGGGAATTTTTAGTTACCCTGTTTTTAGAAGTTCTTGCAAATGTAAAGAGCTGATCTTCACTGTGTTCTTCACTCATCACACTTCTTCCACCATGTGCTTCAGACAAAGTTGCAGGCTGTTCCACTTCAGTGGCACAAACAGCTCCCTCACAGCTTCCTGAACTTTCTTGAGGCAAAAGTAACTTTTTACTAGAAGCCTGACATCTCAAGGGCGCGGATTTCATGTTAGGTTCAGCAGCAGACATGAGCTGAGCAATCTTTCTACACAGCAATGTTGCTGATTTCTTCCTGCGTATTGTGTCATCCCATCTGACATCCTCTGGAACATTTTCAGTCCCAGAGCTAAGAGA